TGTTCATCTTCAAATTATGCTTCTTTTAGTGTGAAAACCTTTTCTTGACTTTTTGTAATAGTGGTATCATACACTGTCCTTTTGTGATTGGCTAATTTCACTCAGCTTAATGTTCTCCAGGTTCATCCATGTGGTGACCTATTTCCCAGACTTATTGTGAACCTTTAGCACTGCTTAGTGTTCTATTGTGTGCGTATATCAGTTTATCCATCCTTCCACCAGTGGGCATTGAAGTCTTTTTCATCTTTTTGCTATAGTGCTGAATAGTGCTGTCATGAACATGGTTTTGCAAATATCTGTTTGTGCTGTGGCTCTTATTTCTTTAGGATATAAACCAAGTAGAGGGATTGCTGGGCCATATAATATTTCTATTCGACAGGGAAAGATTCTCAAGATCAGATCTAGTGCACTGTGCAACCCATGCCATTCACACCATCTTTATGAGAACTTTCAGCCACAGTGATTCATGAATTACGATGATCAAATTTTTAAGAATAAAAATATGTAATCATAAGATCACTTGCGATGGAATACCAGATAAGTGCTTGTGTCTCTATTTAAAAGTAACTACTGTTTGAATGTTCTGTTCACTTAAGGCCGTTCATCCTTGATTTATAAATTCCAGTTAAATCACAGTAAGGTACTTTTACATTTTATGATGGCACTACATTGCTTGAGGAGAGGAGGCACCAAGTCATCCTTTTACAACCCTTGTCTGTTTATTTTTCAGGTCAATAACTCGCTCTTACTACCGCAACTCAGTTGGTGGATTTTTAGTATTTGACATCACTAACCGACGATCCTTTGAACATGTGAGAGATTGGCTAGAAGAAGCAAAAATGTATGTACAGCCATTTCGGATTGTGTTTCTGCTAGTTGGACACAAGTGTGATTTAGCTTCACACCGTCAAGTTTCAAGGGAAGAAGCTGAAAAACTGTCCGCAGACTGTGGCATGAAATATATAGAAACCTCAGCAAAAGACGCCACAAATGTTGAAGAATCGTTCACAATCTTGACAAGAGACATCTATGAACTTATTAAAAAGGGAGAGATTTGTATTCAGGATGGCTGGGAAGGGGTCAAAAGTGGTTTTGTTCCGAATACTGTGCATTCTTCTGAGGAAGCAGTAAAGCCCAGGAAAGAGTGCCTATGCTGACTGCAACCATGCCAAAGAACGCAGAAGGGCAGACCGGGGGTCCGTTCCAGAGAAATACCAATATTAAAAGCAGAATGCCGCAATGAAAGCATTTAAGAACGTCATCTACCTGACTCACTGCCCATATTAACACTGTTGTGTAAGGTCTTTAATTCAGAGCACTATGCTTATGTGTTAAACTATGAGATTGGATATTAGCAGACAAGCCAAACTTTTTCTAGAAACTCAAGTATCCGCATAATTACCTCCGTTTTCACCTTGTTATCACATGACTGGCCTTAGTGTCCAAATATGGCAATCTTTCTCCTTTATCTTGACAGTCTGAAATGGTGTGTATGTGTGGTCTCATTTTAAACTTTTAACAAGAAGTATAGTCTCTGGAGTTAATTCATTTTAAACAGTAAAATGGGTATCAAAGTACACTGTTCACTTACAAAGACTTCTCAGAGGTATCGACCGGAACTAAAACGGTAGTTTCCTACTTAAGGAACCAGGTTTTTTAACCATTTTCTTTAATTTTGTCTGAACATAAGGGAATACGTTTTATACTAATTTTTCTTCTCTGAGTTATTGCTCCTGAACATTTTATATCTTTTAGATGTGTCTGAGAATCTAAGCAAAATATTTTACTGCAAATACATGTAAAAATACAAACAAGCACCCATTTATCAGCAAATGTTTTCATATTTTAGTATACTGTCCTGCCTTAGGCAGAGGAAACAAGTTCACTGATATGCTGGCAAATTCAAAGAAATTAAATGCAGTTTACCTTGAACTAGTGTCAAAATTATCAATATACGTAAATAGAACATATTTCTTTTTTTTCCCTTTTAAAATCATTTTATTGGGGGCTTGTACCACGCTTATCACAATCCATACATCCATCCATTGTGTCAAGCACATTTGTGCATTTGTTGCCCTCATCATTCTCAAAACATTTTCTTTCTACTTGAGCCCTTGGTATCAGCTTCTCATTTTTTCTCCCCTCTCTCTGCCCTCCCTCCCTCACGAATCCTTGATAATTTATAAATTATTATTATTTCGCCATGTTTTACATGGTCTGACATCTCCCTTTACCCGCTTTTCTGTTGTCCGTCCCCCAGGGGAGAACATATTACTAAATTATCTTATTTCCAGTACAGGAAAACTATAGAAAGGAGTTTTCTGGGAAATGGGCTAAATTATTTGATATATTTAGTACTCAAATTGTATTTTATAATCTCATCTGTAAAAGTGAAGATGGAATAATGAATCAAGAACTTCAATGACTTCTAAGCTCCCTAATTTTTAACTTACCAGTTTAAACTCCTTTCCTGGAAGGGGCATTTTGAGCATGATGTCAACTGTTTTGTAACGTACATTTCTACTCTATGCTGTATGCCATGTCTAATCATGAAGAGGGGCACTGCATGAAAGCTGTCCTCTTGGAAACGTGAGATGTTGACTATTAAACTGCAGTTACCTCATTTGTTTAAAAACCAAAGCAGACTAGTTGAAAAGAACATTTAACTAGAAATTAGAAAGCCTGAGTTCTAAGCTTGCCTTTACTGTACCAATATTTGACCATGAGTAAATCATCTAACCCCTCCAAATAGCAGTTTTTCTCATCCATCGCATATGAAGCTAATTCCCCACTGATGGTGTTGTAGGGATTGTTTTGAGAAGTAAGTGAATCATGAGGAAAAAGTTTTGTAAGCAGAGAAAACATGCAGATGTGAAATTGGCACCTGCTCGCGTGCGTGCAGGAGAGGTTTCTTAGCATTTCTTCTGTCCATCCCAGTCCAGAGGGAGCAGGAAAAGGTACAGGTTCTCATGGATCAAGGGAAATCCTTGGTTTAGATGCCTACCCGCTGCCCTTTTCGTCTGAAGCACTGTCCTCCACAGTGGAAATGCTGGGGAGCAAATCCCCCCTGGAGAGTTAAGCCAATCACAAGTCTTGTTCAAAAGGGATGGAACTCATTGAAGTGCTGGGTTAGTATACTATTTTTAGAGAGTTGTTTTTTTTTAAATAGTATCTTTTCATTAACAACCTACAAGGACATTTTGTCTTATAAATTGTCAACCAATTCCCATTCTTGCAGCTTGACTTTTATCTGGGCCTATCATCTACTAGTAGATAGGGTATTTTACTTCCTAATCAGGCCAAGTGGAAAATTCCCTCTTGAAACAGAAGTATCTACACAATTGCCTCCATTCGCATTTTGTTAGCATGGCTCTGACCTTGTTGCTGTTGTTGTTAAGGTGCCATTGAGCTGGTTCTGACCCATCGCAACTCTATGCACAACCAAACGAAACTCTGTCCGATCCTGCCCTTTCTGACATCAGTGTTCAAAAATGTTCGTGTTGCTCATTTTCTTCGACAGCTTGAAATGTGTTTTAGGCATCTTTGAAATGGATATTTAATCATATTTTTAAATCCTTATATAGGTTCCTCTAGAAATTTTTAATAGTGTTATGGTGAAAAGAATGTAAATTATAGCATCATTATAAAATTTTTGAATATTTATAATAGCAACATCCTCTTGACATATTCTGATTGATTTTACTAACATGAGTTAAAACTGTCATTGATGGTATGAGAACCCACTTGGCCCCAAAGCATCGGATTGTCTGATTTTACTGTTACAATATAGTATATCTTATTTTCAAACCATTCACCTTCACCCAAATGGCATCAACTCAAACCATGGATATCTAACAGTTGTTTAAAGTATGCTAAAGTTTAGCTGCTAAGATATAAAGTGAGATTGAACCTGGAGTGGACAACATTTATAATACTCATGTTGGGATAAAACTAGTTTACCGAATGAAAAATACATGTTCTAGAATTAAAGAACTAGAAGAAACAAAGGGGAAGGTGGAGCCACAAAAAGTTGCTATTTACCAAGGTGTCATACATGAACAGAAGCCCAGAACTCAGATTCCTGACACCAAGCCTTTTCTATTACCGTGTGTGTGTGTGTGTGTGTGTGTGTGTGTGTGTGTGTTTAGAGAGAATGAAAGGAAAGTGTGATGTAACTGAATCCACAAAATACTAAAATTAAGCCAGATCATTTTGATGTTGGGGAGGAGCTATAATACAACAATAGTAACATGAACAATGACTACCAAGATCTGAGTTCTTACACAAAATTGCCAACATGCCTGTAAAACTGCAGCCACATATCTTGATCCATGTGTATATGGATGTGTAATAGCTGATCTATTTTCCTACACATTGGAACAGAGAATATGGATAAGTATAATGTCAAAATAGTAAAATTCTTCAGGTCAAACAATTTGACTTAAGTCTCTTAGAAATCAGATGGACTTGATTTCACATTAAAATTACTTAAATTTCATGTTGCTTAAAATTTTAAACTAATAAATATGTACCAAATTATTGAATATTTTAGCTAACTGTGGTAGAAGAGAAATTAAGAACTGCAATAAATGATGCCTGACAGAAATCACTTAGAAGGGAAACCTGGGAGTGTAGTGGATTAGGAATTGGGCTTACAGCCTTAGAAACCCTTGGGATCGGTTCTACTCTTTCCTGTAGGGTGACTATCAATCAAAATTGACTTGATGGCGTTTGGTTGATTGGTTGCAGCTGCTTAACACTTTAAGTTCATGTACTGATGTGATGGTTCATTAAATGATAAACCAAGCCAAAGTGACTACATCAGAGTGCTTTCAAATGCCATCTTGAAGTATGTATACATACATGATAGTAGCAAACGTGATTTCTTGAGCATGTACTTCAGGTTTCCAAAAGCATCTTAGCACTCCTGACTGATTCATCAATATTTTGTGGCAACCGAAGCAGTCTTTTCTACTACTTAGAAAATTCTACCAGAACAAAGTCTTTTAAACTGGACTTGACATCATTTAAAAATTGAATATATGGATTCAATTTTTGAGAGTCCTTTTGTCAGATTTCATACTTCCTTTAGTTCAATTAAGTATGAAACTTCCACTGACTTCAGAAAGTGCACTGTATGAGTAATATTTGGACAGTTTCCTTAGGTCTCTCTAATATTGAGTATCAGTCAATATAGACTGGAGTTTGAGTACGTATAGTGAAAGGACTCAATGCTAAAGACTCATTTCATAAACAAACCTATTAGTCCCCTATTAACAGTGCCTGCAGATAGTTAGGTTGGAATTACAAATGACACATGTCATTTTTAAGGGAGAAAAAACATCTATAAAGGCTTTAAAATTAAGCTCTTTCTATGTTAAAATAGTGGAATACATTTCCAGTCCGGATTGAGCTTTTGGAAATTCCACAGCCCAGAATTGACACCTCTGCTTCGGAACCTTTTTAATTCCCAATGTTTTCGCCAAACTCGTTTGATCTTAAAATAGCTAACCAACTATTTTCATCAATTGAACCAACTGCTTTATAACCTAGTACTTCTATAATCTTAAAAAAGGATGCAGTAAGATACATAAGTGATTAGCTATGACAATCGTTATCAATCATTGCACAATCCAGCTCACTTACTCACATCATGCTAGATAATGACATTTTTAAAGATATATTTTTTAAAGTCTTCCTTTTTGTTCATCTTGGTGAAGTTTTTGTCTTCTTTTAAACAGTGCCTAAAACATTGTCTTATTTTTGTGATATTCACTGCATATCAATTGATGGTTATTATGTTGAATTAATGCCATTAAATGTGAGCCTCACATACTGGGTTTAAATTTATGCATTACATAAAGAAACAATTATGTTTTGCTATCATCGTCTTGTGCCTTTGTTTCCCCCAGAATGACAACCGATGAAAGAAATATGGTATAAACTTTTTGAAGTATTGGTGTTAATTGATTTTAAAATCAATTAATAAAAAGAATGAGAATGAGAGTTATGATTGTCACAGAATTGTTACATATTCATCTTTAACAATTCATCTTTAGTGTGGCTTTCAAACAGAAGTAACTATTTAACTGCAATGTGGTGCAGGTGTGTGTATGTGTAAGAAAAAGGTCCGCAAGTCCTTATGTATTACATAATATCCTGGTGGAGTCTGGGGTAGAACCACGTAATCAAATATTAATATTTATACTGCAAAACATGCATAAATAGACACACCCAAAATGATAAAATTAATAAATTACTTGGCAGTTTAGGTACATTTTTGGCTGCCAAATGAGTTACCAAGAGAAATTTCAGACTTTAAGAGATTTTTGAATTCAGTTTGTGGCCATGTACTATGCTATAACAGATGTTTTAGAATTTGTGACTTTTCTGGAGCACTTAGTAAGAGCTCAGTACATTTCCAGTTGAGCTGTTAAAGACTCATTACATTCTGTACACATGTGTAATGAGTTACACATGTGAAATGTGGGCAGCAGTCCCTGGCACAGAGAAAGCACTTGATAAATGCTACATTTAATGCTCATTTTCAGTATATATTTTTCATACAGTGCTGAGTTGTCTTAATCTCCATAGTTTGTCTGAAACTAATTGGTGATAGTGGCTTATCTTGATAGTTCACTTGGAATGGTCTGGCTCTGGAAGAAGAATGCTTCAGCATTGCCCTGCAGGATGAAGGAGAAGATGGTACAGCTTTGGGGGATTGCTGGGGCTCAAGAGCAGTGCCTGATCCAGTGAAGTGCTCTAGTGAGTGAAGGTGGGTCCATCACAGGTCGTGACAGCAGCACTGCGAGCAGTCATCAAAAGAACAGATGGTAGATACGCATGGTGTGGTAAGGATTGGGCCCTTTAGTCAGTTAGATACAAGGAGGGAGCCCTGGTGGTGCAGTACTTAAAGCACCCAGCTGCCACCCCAAAAGTCAGC